ATTAAAACTTGAAACTGCCTTTGACTTTGATATTTCGCTGGATATAAACTGTCTAGGAGAATAAGGGAATAAGACAATTTGCATCACAGCAAGCTCACAAGCAACATTTTTAATTCAGCAACATTAAAATGTTACATTTAGATCCAAAAGACTGCAGCAAAATCTTTGGATACTTCCAAAGTGAATTTCTTCAGAGCTTTTCCTTCTGTGAAAAAGAAAAAAATGATTCATGAAGAAAGAAAATGTTCAGATAGTCAGAACTGCAGAGAAGAGAATTTTTTTTCTAATGCTATTCAGCCCATAGATCATGGCATCAGTTTTATGCCACAGCAGCTCCACTGAGCTCCACTGGAATCACATCAACCTGAAAGAACTGGTCTGACACGCAAGAGTACTGTTCTCAGGGCACATATTAAGTCAGAAAAAAAGAGGTGTCTTATGGTGCTCTGAGTTCACACTCATGTTTTCCTCCTTTTTGGGACTGCAAATGCACAGAGGAGGTGGAGAATCAGGCAGATTCTCTAGGTTATGGTGCCAAACATCTTCTCACCTACTGTTATAGGAAAAGGTCCTAAAATCTGCTCTGGGACCCCGACTTCTAAATAACGTATCAGAACAGAGCTCCTCGAATTGCTTTCTATCTTTTTGGAAGGATGAGAGAAATACAGGTCTTAGATGTCTCCTAAAAAGAAGTGGATTTCAACAATAACAGAGAAGCTGAAAAATGCATAGCCTTCAGGATAGTTGCAAAGCTATTGAAGAAGGACACAATATTGCATAATTTCTCTGACTTGTTTCCTTTGTTTTGTTTTCTGTTTACATAAGGGACATCTCGACTCTACTAAACGGCAGTCTCTTCATAACAGGAATATTTTGGGGAACAGACCTTTCCTCTTTAAATGTAAATGGTCTACGTGCTTTAGAAGGTGCATAAAGAATATCATGTGTTTAGGGAGTGGAACGACCAATAAATCACCAGGAGTACTGTACTTCCATCCAAAAGTCCTGCATCCATAAGTTAGCAAGGTAAAAGTTAGAGCTAAACCACTGCATCACCTGGGACTGAATAGAAAGTGAAGCCTGCATTTGTGGATGGGGATAGACAGGGAAGTTCAGAGAGTGTATGTTATTTTTACATATATTTGTTATGTGTTTGCATATTACAGATTGCTTCATGTTTATTACACTTAGAAATTGTAATTATTTGGAGTTATTCCAACTTTCCCTTCAGCCACAACTTGTAATATCCAGATCTCTTTCAAAAGCTGCTTGCCAAATGCAGTCCAGACTGAATTGAGAGGGACAGTCATTTTACAGCAGAGACCTCCCAGAAGAGCACTGGCACCACAGTGTTACTCATCACTGGATTGTCAGTGATGGGGTCCGTGTCCACATGGACGACGTAGGATGCTGGTGCTGCAGCACATGACTTGCTCAGGATCATGGACCTGTGGACAGGTTGAGGGATGCTGCTCCCAGACATTTTTGGGAAATGTCATGCCCACCTATCCTCTCTTTACTGCAAAGGAATGAGTCAGGAAGGTAGAGAGGTTGGGAACCGGGCTTGCCTGCAGGGTGCACGTCGAGAAGAACGCAGCACTGTTTATTTACTTGTTCTGGTTTGCAGGATCACGGCTCTGATTCACATCTCCAGGCGCCGCAGTACGAACTGCTCCAACAGTTCCTGATAAATGTAAACAGAGACACCAAATAGTAATAGTCTGGGCCACAAGAAAAATTATTCACATTCCACTTGCCTCACACTCTGCTGTCAGAATGAACTATTAGATGCTGTACTTTTTGCTCTTACCAATTGCACAACCCACTCAAAGCACCGGGGAGGGCAAAGCCAAACTCAGGAAGAGGGGATTTTTGTACCTGGAATGATCTTGAGAATGGTAAGTTTGGTCATGCACAGTAGTTTTTCTTCCTTTTCCTTTTTTGTACGAAACTGTTGAAAAGCTGCCTTACTAGGAAGCTGAAATGTGCACCATGCCAAGCATAAAATCCTTGCCCAGGAGTACAGATTAATGCCCTACAACATTTCTGAGCAGTGCTAAGGAATAAAGGAGGGGTTCTCACGAGTCTAATACACTGGTGCCTTTCAGTAATTAAACAGCAATATGTGGACTACTCCAGTGCCAGTTTTATTTCTAAAGAATGTTTTATGTCTAGCTGCAGACCACATTATCACTATTTTAAGATAAGATTTCACTTAGTTTACACAGACTGGGACCCACTGCAGCTGTCTTTATTTTTGATGCAGACACACTCCCTGGGAGTGCAGGGCCCGGTGTGCAAGGTTCCAATACGACCTGGGAGAAAGATTTTTTCAAAACTGGTTATCATGGGACTTAAGGTTTCCAGAACTTCTTATCTTTAGGAAAAGCAATGGTCAAGATTGACTTTAGACATTAAAAAAATCTCTAATTGTATCTCACTGTGATTTGACTTTCAACAGAGCATACAAACTTGGTCTATGAGGAAACAAAGATACCTCAGGAAGCCAAGCATCCTCTTTTCACTAGATTCAGCAAAGGAAGGTTGGATTCCTATGGCTTGCTTGGATCTACCTCTATGGCATTAATAAATAAAACACAAACCATTGTCAGGCTTTGGGAGATTCCTTTAGTAAATAAAGATCCTGAGATAAAGAATACAACATACTTGTTCTCAGTACTTGCTCTCCAATGTTCTTTGCCAGAAGAAATCACAGTTCTGTTTCCCGCATACTGGGCTATGACTTCAACATATGAAAGGGCTTTATGATTCATCCACATTTTTCACATACAACCCTAAAAGAACATCTGCTTTTCATCAGCTAATGCCTCCATTTCACATCTGTCAGGCGGTTTTCTGAGAAGACGGAGTAGTGATCACGAGACACACAGCCTTTACCACCATGTGTCTACAGCCACAGCAGAGGAGAGGGTACAGGGCCAACCTCAGGAGCTTACAATTGTATCTGCAAAGGTTTTGGGCATGGCAACAAGCAGCTGTTTACATGTAACTTTTTAAGTTAAGTGCCAGAGCCATGGTCTAGACAAGACAGCACAGGAAGGGTGAAGCATCTCAGAGTGAAACTCAAACCGCAGTGGTGAAGCAGGAGATGAAGCTTATCAGTGAGACATTGGAAGGTGCTGGGCTAAGTTCTGCCTCTTTCTACACTAAGGTTTTGACGATCTGGCAGATTGTCACTGTGGTAGCTCTCCCAGAGCTTATACTCGCTTTCCAGCAAACCTCAGGAAATATCAGTTGGGTTGGTGATACTCTGTGGAGATACACAAGTGTCCCCTGGAAACTTGTGCCTTGCTGAGCACACACACTGAGCACGCACTTTTCCTTTTGTATGTAGCTATCTCCCTCTCCTCTGGGAAAAAACGCAGTATATTTCAGGATGGTCAAGGGAGCAGCTGGCATCTCAGATGATTTTTTTTGGCAACCATAAGTCACAGTGAACTCGGAGCCTGTCTCATGCTAAGTGGGAAATTAAAGAGTTGTCTAGTTCTCTGTTCACTTTCTGGCAGCCAAGGTAGGTGACAGGAAGTGTGGAGGGTTATTTTGGGTCCCCCTGTGCTGTACAGTGTTTAGTCTCGACAGACTTCTTCACGCGGGACTCTTCCTCCAGACAGGCTGATAGCTGGGGACAACCAGGGTTAACTGTAGCATCCGCCTCATGACGAATGACAGTGACATCAGGGGGACTTTAATTTTTTATAAGTATCTCTTGCCAACTCGATTACCACGTCAGCACAGACCTGGAGCTAAAACTGAAAGGGACTAAGGGACTGAAAGGAACTAGCCCTTCCATTTACGGCTGGCAGACTTTCCCCTCCCAGTGGAAGAAGGATCATACTTACGGTTTTCACTGGTATCTAAGGCACGAGCCTTATATTTGGTCTCCTTTAAGCCTGCGTCCTGCAAAGCCATGTAATTGCATGCAGCTGTGCTTGCAAGGCATCCTCCACAGACAAAAAGGGTGCACCAAAAAAGACCGGGGTGCAGGACTGCCAAAAAAATATAGCAAAAAAACTACTTACTGGTAGCCATAAAAAGACTCTTATTGGTCTGCCCTCCTCTGCCCTCCTCTGCTGCTGCTACCTCGCAGTTTATGACATGTAGAAAGGGGGAGGTCTGAGCAAGGCAGCGAGCAAGAAATTCCTTTCCTGTCAAAACCAGTAATTCCTTCGTACCGGCTGTTCTTTCTGGAGGGTGTGCTCTCTTCTGTGTCACTTCGAGGAGGACTCCGATATTATTATTATTTTAAATATAGCTTGCCCCGGGGCAGGGGAAACGCACAAGGAAAGAGCTGACAAGCAGCCTATCTCTCAGAAGAAGAGAGCAAGAGTCACGGCAGGAACTGGCTTCGCTCAAGTGTGCACTTTAGAAGTCAAATAATAATAGTAATAATAAAGCTATTCCAAATTTCACCGTTTTGGAGGTGACGGAAGAAAAAGGACGTACAACTGGCTAAATGCGGCGATGGATACAGTAAATCAGGGTACAAAGTGAACCGTAATCGCAGTTTGCATGTAGGCTCAGACGTACAACGTAAGTCTTCCTTAAATCTTTTTTATTTTTATTTTTATTTTTTTTGGAGTTGCTTAATTTCCATTCTGAAGCCATGCTGGGCCAAAAGGTGCAATTAGGTATGAAAATCAACGTGGAGCATAATAAGTAATCTCTGATATGAGGCTGAAAGTGATACTAGAATACAACAGAAGTCAGAGACTATCAGCCACGTTATGGAAGATGAACTATAAATAAAAGCATATCTAATTATTTTGAGAGAAAGACGCTGGATGGACTCTTTAATCAACTTTCTTAATAGAGAAGCAAGAGCTCTTCTGTTTTGTACGGCAAGCTATTTTAATACTGCTGTGTTTAAAATTGTGTGATTACAGTTACCAATAGCAATAAGACGCAGCTCCAGAGGGGAGTCCTAGTGGCTGCAAAAGTTTTTTTTTTCTCTCTCTCTCCTTTATTTCTCCAACATTTTTGCTCTCAAAAGCCTCAAGTCCACAGTCTCTGTCCTACACTTCGGGCTTGCTCTTCAGCTGGATTTTCGATGTGTGCTAACGCTGGGCTTCCTAGGGAACTGAAAACAAAACATTCCATCATTTGGAGTAATCTGGGTATGGCTTTTTACAGCACGTTAGCAGCAAAAATACAAGCAAGAAAATATTGTGTTCCACCAACTTCTGGCATGGACAGCTGAGGAATATAAAGCCCAATGGTGACAAAGGGTGATAATCTCCTGTTTTTCACTATTTATCTCACCAGTTTCCGACTTAGCAATGGATATTCTTTGTGATGAGGAGAGCTCTGTGAACCCAACTGCAAACTCCTTAATGCAACTAAATCTTGAGAGAAGACTCTACAAAGCTGTTAACGGACCTGCAGAGATTAATACTTCACATCTCTTTAACTTGACCGGGGACTCTGAAAACCTGACTAATCTTTCATGTGAAGATACCATGAGTGCACGGTGCTACTCTTCCCTGTTTCAGCTTTCGGAGAAAAACTGGCCAGCTTTGCTGACAGTGATAGTGATTGTTTTAACCATTGCTGGAAATATTCTTGTCATCATGGCTGTATCACTGGAGAAAAAGCTACAGAACGCCACTAACTATTTTCTAATGTCACTGGCAATAGCCGACATGCTGCTGGGTTTCCTCGTCATGCCTGTGTCAATGTTAACCATCCTGTACGGTGAGTATTACCTGTGTAATCTACTGCATGTATTAAGTAGCTTTAAGAATTGCATGAACATGCTGTTGCTGTTAATATTTCACTCTCTTACTACAAGGGCAATGTAATAGCTCCATATAAGGCTGAAATGTATAGAATTGCTTTAATAGCAGAGTACTTGAATCTTTTCTTACTTTAAATTTCTAATTACAGACATTTTAAGCAATGTCCAGAATATTACTTTACTACTCTGATTCTCACAGAGCTGTCTCAAAATGCATTCAAAGATTCTCTGCTCTCTTGATTCTTTCAGTTTTGTCCCTTGCTAGTAATTTTCAATATTCCTAATGAGAATGTAATGCCCTGATAATTGCTTTGCTCTGCAAATATGCAGAGAAGTCCTAATGACTACCTTAGATTCAAAGTAAGCAGCACCTTAATTTTACTTAATGACATAATTCAAACTTAAATCATTCTCTTAACACAAATATTCTACTCAGAGAGCTACTTAGGAGAAGATGCAGGAATAAACATTTGAGGAGTTAAAAATGCATGGGAGTTAATTTTGGTAATATTTACACATGCAAAACTAAACCTCAGGTACAACTGCTTAAGGGAAGTTATTTAAGAATTAATTGAATTATGCCTCACAGTTCATACCCCTTTGGGCGATTTATAGCAGACCTTTTCTGTCATTGTCACCAAAATCAGTTGCAGCATATCTCACATATAGAGAAAAGCAGCAAGCTATGTGTTTGATAAAAATATTAGCAGGCTGTTATCACCCCTAAACTTCGAGAAATGAATTCTCCGGTGCCACAATTGAATTGCTACAGTTCAAGGAGAAGACAGGCAGTGTCATGAAGAAAGCCAGGCTCCTTGTGTGGACTTGTATAGCTTATAGGATCACTTTGGGACTAAAGCTGTGAGCTTGAGCTTGTAGCATTAGGGAGATTTCATCCAGAAAAATAGAAGTTTATTTCCAGACATCCCTTTCAGTATTTCTGCACAGATTGCCCTCAATAGAATTTGCAAACTGCATTTTGTGCTGGTAATAGTAGAACTCTGCAATTTATTTTATTAGTGGTGCAGTGACCTTTAGTGGGAAATACAACACAAAATAGAGCCATAGGAGCAGAAATCATGCGATTTGTGAGATTAGCAAAAACACTTCCAAATCCTGGGTGATTCCCTGAGATATGCAACAGGGACTCCTGCTGGCCAGGCTCTGCCGCCGAGGAGAGCTGCCTGAAATCCCGATCCAGAAGTGACTGACACGCTGGAATGCGGAATTTCCGTCAGCAGCGAGGCAGAGCATGGCTCGGAAAGCCACATCTCCCCCTGAGCAGCTGCCAGCACAGAAGAGCAGCATGTCACCAAAAGCTGCCAGGGAGGGAGTTTTGTCTCCTTTTTTTCCCCCTCCTTTTCCCCTGGCAAAGTCCTTGTGGGTAAGTCCGAGTGAAAAGCCAGACAGTGACATGCGTCAGGCCACATCCCAGTGTGACACAGCACCACGTCATGTCATGTCCTGGCTGCAACCCAAGGCCTTCTTGCCCACATTGCTCTGCCAAGGTCCCCTGAGGACCATGCAGTGAGGGGTCCTCCCACCGCCCACCCTGCAGACCCTGCGTGTGGCATCATATGTGTTTCCTTGCATCAGAGAGCGAGTGGGTTTCCCCTCCATAGGCGCCATGTCCACCCATTCTAGGGACTCTGCTGGGGACACCTATTCTCACCCAGTGTCCCCTGAAGGGGACCGGTGACTAGATGGATGAAGGCTCTTTTTAGTGGTGCCCAGAGATAGGACAAGAGGGGAGGGACCCAAACTGCAACACCAGGAAGTTTGTATGAACATTAGGAAAAGCTTATGGACATAAGAAAAACCTCTTTACTCTGGGGATAAGAGAGCACTGGAACAGGAGAGACTGTGAATTCCTAGGGGAAACTTGAAAGCCACCTGGACAGGGTCTTGGGCAATGTGCTGTAGGTGACCCTGTTTGTGCAGGAGGGGTGGACTAGATATCCAGAGGTCCCTTCCAATCTCAACACTTCTGTGATTTTATTCTTCAGTTATGCTCGAAAGAGAGATAATTTCTTGTTCTCTAAAGTCTTGCTGTTACCACTTCATGCCCAGACACATCTGCCCCAGTTCTGCTTGCCAGAACTGCAACTGTACCCTTTGGGTCAAGCAGGTTTCTCCATCCATCCACCAGCATTGATTTCCATTGCAAAAAATATAAAAGATACCCAACAACGCTCACCCCTGTCAGTCAAGATGGGTGATTTCAAGGAACAGAAAAGTCATGGAGAGTTCAGCAGTGATGTTGGTTCTCACTAAAGTAACTCTTGGGCAGCCGGAGGCCTGTGATTCCCATATTAGAGATTTTTGCCACACTGGCTTAAGAACGTCATCCCACTGGCTTTTTGGATTATTGACAGAAACTGTCTTAATTCCCTGCCGCTGTGCAAGGAAAGTGGAGCGGTTGCAGAGGGGTCAGGCATTTCAGAGCACTCCTGTCTAGCCACGTACTGACCCTAGGCATGGCCACATGTAAGGCACTTCTGCTGCAGGGAGATGATCCATGGGGCCTCCTCAGCAACCTTGAACCCCTTACAGACTCTTCACTCCTCTTTCTTCCTTGGCCATTTGCTCAGAAGATTTTTCTCATACTTCTTTCTGCTAACAAGCAGCACCCTAGCATCCTGGCCAGCTTCACTTCTTTGCCTCCTCTCCTCAAAGTCCTCTTGAGAAAACATCCCTTCTTGTCTGCATGCTACCATCTGGCTACAACAGAAGCAAAAACTCTTCCCTCCATCCTAGGGACTCGCTGCCCTCTCCTCCTCCAGTCTCTCAGTCTGGAAATGCACTGACTGAGCACACAGATGCACATGCATCACTTTTCTGTTTTTGGATGGGGTCCCTCGCTTGAGTGCCCATGGACCACAGGAAATCCTGGACCTCACAAACCTTTCCCTGCCTACCAACTCCTTAAATTGCAGCCATGCCTTTCCTTGGATACGTGGGAGGGTGAATTGGATGGTAGTCAGAGCTCAGCACATGGCAAATGTACCCTACATCACATGCCACAGACAACACCCGAGGGTCTATCTGAAGGCTGTCATCTACACACTGCTTCACTATTTGTGCATCCACAGTTGGCTCTACTCATTCAGCTCCCCTTTCCACGGTCTCACTGCCTCCAAGGTAGCTTATCAGAGGGATGCTGTTTATCACTGTCCCAGCCAGGCTTGGAGTGAGGACAAATGATGAGAAGGACACGCAAAAGGTCTTCCCAAAAGCTGCTAGGACAAGAGAACGCATGCATGTTGCTAAGTGCAAAAACACTTCATTTACGCTATTTACTGTCCAGCAGAAAACCTTTTTCTCTGCGTAAATTGGCCTGGCCTGCCTGGGAGATGCTGCTGGCAAGACATGCCCCTGAATGCCAGTCCTCAGTTAACAGCACTCCAGAGACCAGATTCCCCATTGGAAGACTAGAAAACAGGAGAAAACATCTCCATAAATGCTGACGGACTTGTTAGGGCCAGCTCATATTACAGCAGTCCAAGAACATGGAGAAATAGGTCCCCCTGCGACTGGGATTGGATTTAATTAGACATGGGTCTCGCTGCTCTGCGTACCCATCTGCTGCTGTTTCTGCAAATCTTATCGCACCAAATCTCCAAAGGAGATGGGCAGTGAAAAAGTGCCCATGAAAAAATGGAAAAAATTAGTATGTTATCTCAGAGTCAGCTTTGGTGCTGCCCCATGCAGCACTGCTAACAGGCGGTCTGGGTGACATGCTCTAAATTAAGCCTGTACAGCTGCAAAACTTTCTCCAGGAGAATTTAGCAGTGGATTTAGCAGTGGGTTCCTGCAGACCTAGAAGGGAGGTCCTACAGGGCTCTGCTTAGCCCAGCTCCACTCGATACCATTCTAATCCAGCTAATGCAGAGAGGAAAAGCTTACATATTTTTTCAAAAGCACCAGGCTGGGAGAGCTTGTGAGCACTCAGTGGGACAGAATCAGTTCTGCCTACAGAGATCTGGACCCCTGAGGAGAAAGTCTGGGATGAGCTAAAGAAATGCAGAGAGGCTAAATGCAAAGACATCCACACAGGGGGAAGATATCAAACAAACGACTAGAGGGGAAATTGATCCAAGCTGCAGGAACACAGAACAAAGTCTAGGGGGGCAAAATGGATCATAAACCATGTAACAATGGTATAATTCCTTTTTTATAGAAAAGGCCATCACCATACCAGGCTGTAGAAAGGCATTCCCTGTTAAACAGTGTTCTATCCCATTTAGCAGTCAGGAAGCTTTTGCAAAAGTACCAAGCTCCACTTTACTATAACCAAGATATAGATAAATTGAAGAGTTTCCAGGGCAGAGAAACAAGAAACACACAAGTTCTAAAAACATTGCCCATAAGCAAAAGATAACAAAATTGTCTTTGTTTAGTCTAGGAGATAAAACAAACAAACAAAAAATAAGGCAAAACATGATAAGCATCCTCCAGTAGCTCCCAGGAAGGATGGAAATCAATTATTCTTCATGACTAGTGAAAAGAACAAGGAGGAAAAAAGCTGTTTAGCTTGTAGCAAAGAAAATTTAGGTTGGGTATTGGTAAACACTAATGCTTTTGTTTTAGACTCTTCTTTCCAAAGGCGAAGACCATCTCTGTTAGCTGATGATATAGAGCAACCTTAATAAAGTGTGCTGTCAGTACCTGATGATAGGTGACAGAAATATCACCCGAATGCAACAAAATATATTTCTTTGGTATTCCTCCGTTGCCACTAAATCTAGAGTTTCTGCCTCAGATATCAGAAAGTTTTGCATATCAGGAGGTGTTAATAAGAGAGTAATCACACGAAAAAAATCTGAAAGAAAAGTGAGAACTTTAATGTTGACAATTAGAAAATTGCTCATCTTTCTTTAGATTTGCTGCTAGAATGGTTAATTATGGCATCAAGCATTATTCACATAGAATCAAATGTATATATATATATATAGCCTGCAGACTAGGAAAGAAGCTGAGATATCTCCAAAAGTGAAAGTTTAGAAGGTTATAAGTAAATGAAAAACATACAAAAGTCCCTTAACACAGGAAGTGTTAGGCAATTTATTTTAAAGACATCACTTACTGTAACCTCTTCCTGGAAGGATACAGGACAACTATAGGACAGCTATAGGACAACTGCCACCGGATATATGTCACATCTTTAGCTGATGACAACTTTCTCTTGCACAGGATATACATGGCCTCTACCTACCAAGCTCTGTGCTGTTTGGATCTACTTGGACGTGCTTTTTTCCACTGCATCCATTATGCATCTCTGTGCCATCTCACTGGATCGCTATATTGCCATCCGAAACCCCATCCATCACAGCCGCTTTAACTCGAGGACCAAGGCTTTTGCAAAAATAATTGCTGTTTGGACCATATCAGTTGGTAAGTGAGGCAATATTTCAGCATGTAATTGCAGATTTCTAGCTTTTGAGAGGATCTGAAATATATATTGTAACCTAAAATATATATTTTTTGCTGGTAGGATTTTGCTTACCACAGTCTAAGAAATGCTGTAATGTAGTAATTATGTAACAGAAAGCAACAGTGCCAATGGGATCTGGAGCAGAATGGAGCAGCACCATCACAGAAAGAATATACATCACTATTAGAATGACTGTGCTTGAGTTGGTTTTAAAGTTGTCTTTGTTTCCTTTATTGATTATCCATCGTTACCTTAATATAGAAAAAGAAAAGAAATGATTGCAACTGAAAAAGGATTTCACCATTTTAAGTCAGTCGTTCCTAACTCTCATGAGGGTAATCTGCTTAAAGATGTCTCTTATTGGCAGATATTTTCTACATTTCTTTGGTGCACAGAGTAGGATATTTACCCCATCCCATTCAGGAGGCAGTAAATATTCTGGATATACCATGGATGAGAGAAGGACATTCAGAGCTGTAGCCTGACACCGGTGCTCCGCATCACTCCCTAGATGAATCTCTCCTTGCATTGGCTTGTAATTATGCTTGGAAGTATAACTTAGTAGCAGCATCTTTGGTCCAGAGCTGTTTTATAGCATGGAAAGTGGAAAAAGGTTGGTCTCTGATATCATCAGGGCTATGATTCCCAAAAACGATGAAAGCTCAGTCCCCTTCTGGCTCATCTGTTTTTGTTCAGCCCCTCTCTATCTGCAGCTCTCTTCTTCAGAGGGAAGAGAAGTTCACTCTCTTGCCCTGAAAGAGATGACTGTCGACAGTGATTAAAGGTAATTAGCTGTTTCCTTGGCTAATATAAATTATCGTGAGCAGTAATTGCAGCCTTCTTTTTGAGGGAAGGAAAGGAGATGGGCCCTAATGCTGCCGCCTGCATGCCCCTTAGAGGCCTTCCCTGGCCCCCACTTGATCCTGGTCCAGAGTCTGAGAAAAAGCAGTCCAAGATATTTAAGGCTTAAAATAACTGTATCTTCCGCAGCGCAGAGAGAAATCGCAAGAGCCCATTCGCAGGCAGAGGACAGTTCTGCATGTTCTGCCACGGGGAACTGGCTGCGTTTAGGAGTGTTACGTGTGATTCAGGATGTAGATGTCTAACGCAGGCCAGATGAATTGCACCCTAAAAATACCTAGCCCTCTGTTAGCTATAAATGAAGCCTGAACGTCTTGCTTGGATGTAGATGTCTTCATTTGGATGAGATGAATCACACCTTATATTTCCACAGTCACTTTTTTTTTACTGAGCCAGTAAAAAATATATTACTTGCTCCGTCCAGTTTTTCCAGTCTAAGATCCCTCTACCTGCAAAAGTTTTCAGCATATTTTGCTTGTGGCATACAAATAGTCAAGCATTAATTAACTTACCATGTTCATCTGTGTCTGTGTGTGGCGCCTGAGGTAAGGGTACGTGAGATTACTCCATCTTTAGCCATTAATAAATTCACAGAGAGGTCAGAATTGCCATTCCAGAAGCAAACCAGTGTTCCACACAGCTCAGCATGTTACTTCCAACAGTGGCTCACCACCACAGTATCTAAATGATCTCGCTCCTAAAATGTATCCAGAAAAGATCATTCCTAAAGGCCCATTAGTTAGAACACATTGCATGTCTGGAAGCAGGAGGGTTTAGTTCCTTGGTATCCTGATATTTAGTTTCAAAAGTTAGGAGTGTTCTTTGTAGGAACAACAAATAAAAATTAGCTATTGTAAAAGCATCTTCTATGCTCTCTAAAGACTTTTCTTCTACTAGCGATGAGCCAAGCTGCAGACATTATTTGTTATTACAGTGGCAAGGGATATCAACAAGGTCCCTCTTCATACAACTCTAAAAAACACAACTCTTCACCTTATTGGAAAGCACTTGAGTGTGACATCAGTGAAGAGGACAGAGTCCGGCTCTATTGTGGTTGGCTAAGGACAAATACAAGGAAATGATGGATATTAGGTTGGCTCATAGGGTAAAATATGCCTCACTCGCATCAAATGTTGTCAAAACAGCAAGTATGTTAAATAATAGAAATAAATCTCAGCAATGTGCCCTTGGGAAGGAAGCACAGCTGGGCAGATCTGCATGGCAGCAAGGGGCGTTGAGAGATGAGCTGAAGGAAGGAGAGTCTATTCCCAGCCTAGCAACTGCGTCATGGATGATTTCTGGCAAATGTGATGTGCTTTGGAAGACAGACAGGGAAGCAAATGCACAACAGGCTACATGAGCTGTCGAGATGCCCAGTGCTTGGCCAGATTGAGCTTGCACCATGCTATATTAAAGGAATAAAGGAAAATGCCAGTAGTATAAGGAATCCTGACAGCTCTGAGACCTCCTGTGTGACTTAGTGCCAATCTGTTATCATCCCTGTCCTTCTCATTTGCCACAGTCTGCACAATAGAGAGGAAATGGTTTCAGAAGAATGAGGTGCTTTATATATCATTTACTAATAGGAAATTGTCTCTGAACAAAGAGGTGCTTTATCTATCATTTACTAATCTCCAGGCTCTTGGTGCTGCTTATAGTAGCAGGACTATGAATTATTTAACTCTTTGCACTTTCACACAGCTACAGCTAGCACAGGCAGAGCCAGTGTCAGGCTGTGTGCCTTTGCACCCTCCTCTGTGCCTTTTCCAGTATTTCTACAACCTCTTTGAGACACAGTTTGTTACACTGGTGGCTTTAAGATGTGGTCACACTAAAAATTTGTGTGTCATAACTTTGTTTTGTCTTTTGTTATCAATTCCTATCTTTATAAGTCCTACTATTTTGTTTGTCTTCATGATCATCCCTGAACACTGTGCTGATATTTTCAGGTCAGTGATTCCAAAATTTCTTTCCTGAGCAGCAATTTGGCACACATAAGTAGGGTCATTCTCCACCACCCTAGACATATGTACTTTTTTTTTTTTTTTTTTGGCTTCATAGCACAGAATTTTGCTTGCTCCTTTATTGCCCGTTAGCTGAGGTCTATGAGGACCTTCTACAATTCTCTTCAGTCAGCAGCTGCATGTTGTCAGCAGTTTTCCCCACCTCAGTTCCACCACCCATGCACACAGTTAACGACGGGCTGAACAGCCCTGCTGTAACACAAGGGGCTGTAGGACGCCACCAACCATAACCCTCATCACGAGATGAACCATTTAGTCCTGCTCTTTACCTCCTAGCATCTTTTTTTTTTTCCTGCAAAAGGATCTTTCTTCTTGGACCATTAGAGTCAAATTCTTTGATGAAGCCTTTGATGAAACAGGGCTGCCAGAGCTTTCTGGAAGCCCAGGAATATTGTATCAACTGGATCATCCTCATCCCCTTGCTCACTGCCTTCTCTGAGGAATTCGAGCTGATCTATAGGGAGCCTGGTTTCTTTGCAGAAGTTCTTCTAATGCCTACCATTCTACTAATGCCACTTTCATTAGGACTTCTACTAATTTACTTAGGTAATGATGCTTTTATTCACTAAATCCCTTTTTTATTCATTGCATTTTAATTTTTTTCTTTTATTCACTTTTTTAATATTTTACTTTTATTCACTAATTTATGATTTTGTTAAATGAATTTAATTCAAACCCCATTCAGTCAGTGATCTTCCTTCTATTGGCTTCAGTGATGTGGGAAATATTTCAAACACAAATAACGTAAGAAAGAGCAGAAGTTGTCACTTCTGTAGCTTCTGAAATCTTGACTTTTTTAGTAAGAAAAATTGTGCTAACATTTATTTTTGCATTTACTGGATGCATTTAGCCAGCAGCCCTTCTTTTACTAGACCATGTAATGCCATAGGCAATTGGTTTAAAATGGATTCTAATTACTGTAACAGATTCTAATCATGTCTTTAATTCTTAAATCATCCAGTACCGCAGTGGCTAGATAATTAGATTATTTGTAGCTGTTGAAAGCAAAAGCCCATTAAATCCTGAAAATTATTCCATTTGTTTTAAAGCACAGAGGTCATTACTGAGAACAGGTGTAAAAAAATAACATGCATTTTCCCTCCCTAGGAAAATTAGAGCTGAATTTATTCAATAGCATTTAGATGGAATCTATAGAATTGTAAGACTAAGCTGAAAACTACAGGAAAAGCACTTTTGACTTCCAAGTGGGCCTAACAAATATACTGCTCTGTAAGAGCCAAAAATGCAGCATTCCTTCCCTCAAAAGTCCTCGAAAAAAGCTGCATAAAGGAGTTAAAGTCATGAATGCTAAGCCTTCGTATATATCATTCCTCAGTCCTTATTTTCCTCTATTCCTCTGTTAATGGTCTAAGTCATGGAAAGTTTGATGAAGCACAAATCCTCTTAGCTGAGTTTTCTCTTATCATTTCTCGCTCAGCCTACACATCTGCTCTTTGCCTTCAGGCAGTCTCTGCTCTCCCCAGTCACTAACTTGGATTTATTCAGTGCTTTTCATGCAGAAGAAAGTCCAAAGTGGAGCTGCACGACCTAGTGTAGTATCTCCCACAACACATCTCCCCATAATTTTGTCTTTGCTCCAGAAGCATTAAAAAATCAGCTATTGTAGCATGCAAGCAGCATCCTCCAAAGTACAGAGCAAAAATGTTACCTGAAGGTGTATGAAACAAGTCCAGCACAACTTCTCCTCGCAAAAATTCACCAGTGGGAAGTTTTTATGCTGACACAGAGGGTTACCTTTTTTTCCTCTGGTGACATCTGCTGACACTGAGCAGCTTGAGCAGGGGGGTTGGACTAGATGATCTCTAAGAGGTCCCTTCCAACCTCAACCATTCTGTGATCTAGCTGTCCTGCAGGGTCAGGAGGGCCAGGGAGCAGCAAGGATGTGACAAGTAGAGCTATCGTGGTCTCCAGACTGTGGTTTGCCAACAGCTTTGGGCTCTTTTGGCCTAGTAGCCACTTAGTTCTGTCCAGGACAGCCTTCATTTGAAATTCATTTTACCGTTTTCGAAAGCCACGAACAGCCAAGAGTCTGCATGATGGGATCCACCGTTTCC